CAAAAAATATATATACATATATATATTAGAGGATATATTTACAATTAGTTTTTGCCGTTTTTTCTTAAAAATCGCATTTATTTTTATAAAAATATCAATTAATACCTTAGTCAAAATATTTCCCCTTGTTTTCAATTATTCTATTATTCTTTTTCCTATCCTTCTGACAAAAGTTTGATTCCGCGATGATAGAACGAGCTGACTTTTAATGCAAGCCATGTATCCATCCTTAACGTAATTGGAAAAGTGACAACGTATGCAGCAGCCATTTTCCTTTTTTTTGGATTTTTCCCATGGCGTGTAAACGTTTGAAAACAGTCATAGGAGCAACATTTAACACTTTTGATAATTCTTTGAGTGTTTGAGTTGGATTTTTATTCAATAATGCTTGCAATTCAGCATCCTCAAACTTTTTTGGCTGTCATGAACGTTCTTTGTCTTCTACACTGGTATCACCACTTTTAAATCGTTTAAACCAGTTTCTACATGTTCTTTTTGATGGAGCTTGTTCACTATAAGTTTTAGAAAGCAATCGATGCGTTTCAATTGCAGTTTTCTTTAAATCAAAGTAATGAAGAAGTATAATACATATCGAAAAAACCACTTATGATTCATTTTAAATTGATTAAAAAATATCGCTGCTAACAATGAACCCTTGCGCATTGAATTTTATTAGATAGATGTCTCAAAAGACATACAACTAGTTGAAGTCAACCGTTAAAGCTCACTATTTTTGCAACTGGAGCCATTCACTTGTGAGCGGCAAAAACTAAGTGTAAGGGAGAAGGGCTAGCAAACAGTGTCAGTTTAAATTTTTTCTCTGTCCCGCGTCTTGTTCGTTAATAAAAGAATAGTTCTCAAGCATCTAACCATCCTCTGAAAAAATGGTAAAAATCAAAAGCCAAATATAGCTAACGGAGAAGTTTAAAATTTTGCGTGAAACAAGGTAAAACTGGACCTATTTTTTTCAAGTTAAATTTTCTTAATTGCGCTGAATCGTTAAATGCGATCTAATCTATTCTATGTCATACGGTACATTTTTCCTCTATTTTGATATAACTCATGGAGGTAAGAAATAACAGGAGGAAGGCTATTTCCCCGCGGCCTGGCTAAGCAGACGTAAGGGGGAACAATATAAAACGCTATATTACTGTGGTCAACCAATCACATTTGGCGTAATAACTCTCAACTTCAATAAAGTGTGTACAAAATGCTATTATATTATACTGTAGCTAACCAATCACATTTGGCATAGTAATTCCTATCAACAAAAAGGCCTTACATTCCCTCCTGGTATTTTGTTTACCTCCATGATATAACCTTTATACTTGTATATTAATTTCATTTCTCTTAGTAAAGTTTTAAAGGAAAAAGTAGCTCCTGAAGCAAATAATGACAATTTTTGTGGGGGTAAATAATAAGTAAAAAAGTTTTTTCAATATTTGAATATGATTTTTCTAATATTCATTTGGGAAAATATGATTAGTCACAAGAAAAGTTCCAGAATAATTGTGATCTTCAATAAGAAATACTAATCAAAGGCTGTTATAATTAATATTTGTTATATGTATATGCTAAACTAATAAAACTGGATATTCATTTTTAAAGGACATTTAATTTCAAAATAATTTAATGTTTGTTTCTTTTGCTAACAAAGAAATATTAGTTTAGTTTGCAAAAAGCAGCCAAAGATTTTTGTTTTGTATTTCACCTTTATTTTGTTACTTTTTGCAATAAATGTATTTTTAAATATGTATAATTTTTTTTATTTTATAATACATCTTAAATTTTTTACTAAAATAAAAATATATAAATTAAAATGTATAAAAAAATATTGTTGAAAGCTAAGTAGGGAAGACCGGTGTCAATTGTAACAATTTTTACAAAATATTTTATTTCTCGGTCAATATTCCATATTTTTGACCGGAAAATTTTTTCCTGAGTTTATTGATCGTCTGTCTACGTGATTGCAGCGATATAAGTTCCAAAAAATTACTCATATTATTATTAGTAATTAAAATAAAATATTGATCGAGATGTTACAATCGGCACCAAATCGGTGTCAATTGTAACACGCTTGGTGTCGATTGTAACACAAACGAAATAAGATTCTTGGACACAGAATTACTCTATTTTTTTTCCGTGATTTCCCTATTTATACGACTTCTTATTATATCCCGACGAATAATTCTTAGAAGAGCATTCTGATAATTGCCATTGTACGAAAAACGAGAGAGAGATGTACTCGAGTATGCATTTGGACCGTTTCAAAGATGTTTTCTATTCGGCAGCTATTAGCACGCCGCATGTGTGTATGTGTGTGTGTGTCGTTTCCAAACCGTTTTAGGTAACATATCTAATTTTGTGATTGATCATAATATA